TTCTTGTATGATATAGGATGATAGGAATAGCAGAAAACATAAATACACACAATTGTGCTTACATTTCTTACAGTATAAAGAATTAAGATGTATAGATGATTCCTTTTCACAAATTAATACTTAGGAGTCCCCTAGATAGTCCCTGCTATGACGACCAAGCCAGTGTTGACAGGGACATGTGGAAATGGGAACTCTTATCCCTCACTGTTGGGAAAGTAAATTTGTATAAGACTATTGGAGATCAATTCAATGATACTTAGTAGAGAGGAAGATCTTCATATCCCATTAGCCAGCATTTTCATTTCTGGATACATGTGTCTTCAAAAGAACTGCTGTATGTGTACGTAAGAACCACTGTCTTATATAATGGAGACAACTAAATGTCTATTAAAATGGCAGTGAGCAGAAATTATATTAATTATGCTTGTAAAATGTAACGATATGCAGAAGCTGAAAACAATGTGAAGCTATGTATTGTCATAAAGTTTTAAAAACATAATTTTAAGTGACTAAAATGTGTTTTAGAATTATACCTAAATTAACATTCATATAAATAAAGAAAAACAAGTAATTCTCTTTCATTTCAAATATATGTATATTTAGTTATATATGTATATATATGTTTATGTATTTGCTTCTCTAGTGGCTCAGTGGTAAAGAATTTGACTGCCAATGCAGGAGACCTAGGTTTGCTCCTTGGGTCAGGAAGATACCCTAGAGAAGGGAATGGCAACCTACTCCAGTATTCTTGCGTGGGAAATCCCAAGGACAGAGGGACCTGGTGGGATACAGTCAGTGGGGTCTCAAAAGAGTCGGACACAAGTTAGTGACTAAACAACAGTAAATGTATGTACATAATACCTAGGAACAAATGTAAAACCAGAGGCAAAATAACCATCAAGCTAATGAAACAGTCTCAAAGCCAGTCTATCCCACTCCTTGGTCCTTGGTCTTGCATCAGACCTGGAGGCTTACATCTTAATCTGCTCCACATTCTTCTCCCAAAGGATGTCATCTGGAGCGTGTTGCTGATTTTGTGTTGCTTTATAACAAGTAGCATTTCTTTTGTCACTATATAGGCTTAAATAAATTGGCAGTCTCTTCCTTTGTCCCAAGAGAGTCTGTTTTGGTGAGCTTTTTAGTCATGAAAATTTAAGTCAAATGTCTAACAGCTAAATAAATAATGGGGAAGTTCTGAACAATGCTGTAACACTGAATGACAGACCTTCCTACCAGCTGTGATAGATCCTATAAAAAGGCCAAGAGCAAGATTGTGCCAAAACTAATGATGGAATTTTTTTTCATTTCCTTTTGGCTGAAACTGAAGATAGGAGATGTAGAGTTTTGGGGGGAGGGGTGGTGGCGGGGAGGAAGACAGGCAAGGCAGGACATCTCGAGAGGATGAGCGCACCCCAGCAGCGCAACAGCAGAGCTGAGGCTCAAAGAGAGGCTGGCAGGGAGTTTCCCAGGAGAGGGCAGGCCCATGGACCCTGAGTCTTCTGATGTCCATTTTCACGTCTCCTTTTTTGTACCCACTGTGTTATCATCAAGCCCTGAGTTATGTCCATTGGACATGCCCAGCTTGTATTGTCTATATTTCATGGAATCAAGGGAGCAGACTGAAATACTGCAGCTTTTTTTAAGGAAAAGGTCCAGGGCTTCATAGCACAGAGGTAGGAGGATGGTGGGACCACTTTGAGTACTGAGAGTGGTACTGCTTCTTCCATAAAGGTGGCAGGTGTTAGGGGAGGCGGAGTGAGAGTGATGTGATGGACAGCAGGAGGATGGGAGGCGAGGCCAGCTCGAGGAGCAGCATCTCCCGACTGCGGGGGCACTCAGAGACAGGACACGTGAAACCTCGGAGTTTAATTAGGGTTTCTGAGCCTCTCCTTGAGAAAGGCTGGGAAACAGAAAGGAATGGAGGGAAGGGGAGACTTCAAGTTGGTGACTGCTAAGCCTCAAAAAGAAAAAAACAAGTCTGTGCTGTTTTTGACAGGACAAGGGAAGAAAGCGTAACAGAAGGCATGGGTAGCGCCTTCACTTCATCAGCTAGGGGCCTGGAAAGCATTTGAAAGTGAGAGGGGAACTGTTAGTTGTTCACTGTGTCAGACTCTTTGCAACACCATGAACTACAGTCTGCCAGCTTCTTCTCTCCATAAGATTCTCCAGGCAAGAAAACAAGAGTGGGCAACCATCCCCTCCTCCAGGGGATCTTCTTGACCAAGGGACCGACTGGATGTCCTCTGAGCTGCAGGCAGACCCCTCACCACCTGAAATCTTTGTGCAGGTCAAATGTTGTAACGTTCAGTAAGTCAAATGGCCAAGTCCAACTGCACAGATGGTTGGCCATGTACACACCAAAGTAGGTGGTTAATTCACTTAGATTTTTTCCAGTTCATTTCAGTCTCTCAGTTGTGTCCAAATCTTTGCAACCCCATGGACTACAGCACGCCAGGCCTTCCTGTCCATCACCAACTCCCAGAGTTTATTCAAACTCACGTTGAGTTGGTCATGCCTTCCAACCATCTCATTCTTTGCTGCCCACTTCTCCTTCTGCCTTCAGTCTTGCCCAGCATCAGGGTCTTTTCAAATGAGTCAGGACTTCGCATCAGGTGGCCAAAGTACTGGAGTTTCAGCTTCAACATCAGTTCTTCAAATGAATATTCAGGACTGATTTCCTTTAGGATGGACTGGTTNTTTCTCAAGAGGCAGGTCAGGTCGTCTGGTGAGAACCTCTTGAAGAATTTTCCACAGTTTATTGTGATCCACACAGTCAAAGGCTTTGGCATCGTCAATAGAGCAGAAGTAGATGTTTTTCTGGAACTCTCTTGCTTTTTTGATGACTCAGTGGATGTTGGCAATATGATCTCTTGTTCCTTTTCCTTTTCTAAATCCAGCTTGAACATCTGTAAGTTCATAGTTCATGTACTGTTGAAGCCTGGCTTGAGAATTTTGAGCATTACTTTACTAGCATGTGAGATGAGTGCAATTGTGCAGTAGTTTGAGCATTCTTTGGCATTGCTTTTCTTTGGGACTGGAATGAAAACTGACTTTTTCCAGTCCTGTGGCCACTGCTGAATTTTCCAAATTTGCTGGCATATTGAGTGCAGCACCTTCACAGCATCATCTTTTAGGATTTGAAATAGCTCAACTGGAATTCCATCACCTCCACTAGCTTTGTTTATAGCGATGCTTGCTAAGGCCCACTTGACTTTGCCTACCAGGATGTCTGGTTCTAGGTGAGGGATCACACCATCATGATTATCTGGGTCATGAAGATCTTTTCTGTACAGTTCTTCTGTGTATTCTTTCCACCTCTTTTATTATCCTCTGCTTCTGTTAGGTCTAAACCATTTCTATCCTTTATGGTGCCCATCTTTGCATGAAATGTTCCTTTGGTATCTCTAATTTTCTTGAAGAGATCTCCAGTCTTTCCCATTCTATTGTTTTCCTTTATTTCTTTGCATTAATCACTGAGGAAGGCTTTCTTATCTCTTTGCTATTCTTTGAAACTTTGCATTCAAATGGGTATATCTTTCCTTTTTTCCTTTGCCTTTCACTTCTATTCTTTTCTCAGCTATTTGCAAGGCCTACTCAGCCAGCCATTTTGCCTTTTTGCGTTTTTTTTTCTTGGGGATGGTCTTGATCCCTGCCCTCTGTACAATGTTATGAACCTCCACCCATAGTTGTTCAGGCACTCTGTCTATCAGATATAATCCCTTGAATCTATTTTTCACTTCCACTAGATCTTTATGCTTTGTTTTAAAATTGGTGCTCTGTTCAAAGTCAAAATTAGCTGATCCCTTGTGACTATAATTTAAAATATCATGTTTGATAGTTTTAATAACTATTTACTTGCTTTAGATCAAAGTTTTTTCAGATGCCCATGGCAAACAGTAAGAAATTTAGTAAAAATAAAATGTAATTTGAAAATACTAGTCATATTTATATACCTTTTATGCAAAATTACAACTCAAATAACTCATTTCAACCTAGAACACTTCAAAACAACAACAGAAAGATACACTTCTTTGCCAAACAGGAAGATCCTACACTTTCGTTGCTCTACAACCTGTGAGCTGACTTTATGATTTTTCATCACTATCCATGCCTTCTTGGGCCACTTTACTATTTTTAGAAGTAGACAGTGTGGCTGATAAAGTAGTAAATCCAACTAGTTCAACCTCTGCGAATTATATCAACCAGGGCACTGACTTGGTGAGCAAAATCTCCATGGGCATTGAGAAATATGAGCTGGCTAGTCAAGGTTACAGTTATTTTTTTTTCCGTTGGAAAAAAAATTTTAATGCAAAGCAGTTAAATATTACCTCTGTGTTTCAGTTAATTTTAGATTATTGAAGGTTTGCATTTTCAAATTCATCTGATTAATAACACTCAAATAAAAATAAGCTAAATATATATTTATGTATATAAATAGCATGAAATAATTCTTTTCTTATTTGTTACAGGGAAACAGAGTGGGAAGAAATCCTGAGAAAACATAAGAATATGACTGCTCAAACATTTTAAAACTTTAAAAAATATCCTTAGAACTCTCAGAAACCTACATGTGATCGAATGTTTTATCACAGACTCTGTTACAGGAGATTGCTAGAAATTAGAAAAACAAAATATTTCTGCTATAGCAGTGAAGGAAAAAAAATACATATTTCAAGCAATAATTTTTAAACATTAAGTGGAAATAAGGTCCATAAAAATAAGTATTGCAATTTTCCTTTTGTGTTGTTCTTTTCCAATTGGTCCTTCAGCCACCAAGTGGGATGATGGTCTGTGAGTAGTGTTTTTTTGATGCTAGCTTTGTCTCCCCCTGTTGTTCAGCACTCCGGAAGCAGCGCGGCCTCCCTTCCCCGGGTTTGTAAGCCGAGAAGCAGACAGACACCCTCTGAAGTGGTGTGCCTGCCGCATTTCTCTACTTGCCGCAACAAGAAGAGTCTCTCTTTTAACCTGGCTGCCTTTGACGAAGTGACTAAGACATGTTCATGGCCTCTAAAGGTAAGAGTAAATATAGGCAACTAATAATATTTTCCTTATGACTGAAAATATAGGTTGTAAGGTGTTAACAATCAGTGAGATTGATACTTTAAAACCTGTCATTTAGTTCTTTGGAACTTTGAAGTTTTTAACTTTGAGTGCCAAATTGCATGTTACATTAAATAAATTTAAAAAAATACACTCTACCTACAAGAATCCAAAAGTTAAGATGTAAACAGTGTTTTTGTTATCATAAATATAACCTAATGACTTAATAAGAAAAGCTGCAGAACAAAATTTAGAATGGGAATATTTAATGCCAAACACAAGTTGATATTTCCAGTTTAAAGAGATTGGTAGAGAACTTTTCATATGTAAGTTAAAAGTGTTATAGTTCAATATTTTAAAATTTCCTATTTGCTATTTAAAATATGTGATACAGCCATTTATTATAGAGAATTAAATGTGTGTTCTCAGGAGATCCTAGTAAATTTAATGGACTAGAAGCAAATATTTCTGAACAATGAAGCAAAAATCTTTGAAAATTTATTTATGGTAAATTATATATAAAAAGTAAACAGAAACTAATTTAAGCAAACAGATTAGTTAAAGACTTTGGGAGGGGGGACTGGTAAATTCTCCTCACATCCCTGAAAATGTAAATCTCATTAGTGCTGTCTCACTTAAAGAACTTCTCAGAAGACAAGGGATATGCTGCTTTTAGGTAATGAGTTGCAATCTCACTAAAAACACTTGTGAAATGATATAAAAATGAAATTATAATGTGTTTTCTTTCCATTATCAGAAGAAGCCATTAAACTCTAGGCTCTAATGAAGTTTTATCATGAAGAATTGTGATCACTATAATTGGTGGAAACCTTTTAACCTAATTACAAATAGGATTAACAGAGTCCACCGATTTAAAATATCCTAAATTAAATTAATGATCCACATTAGAGAAATGTGTACGCTTATTTGCTTCCTTTGTCAAAATACACTTAGGATGCTATTTAACTTGGAACAAAGGAAGTAATTTTTTTTCCACTTTTTGTCACTGTACACTAGTCTCTGAGTATCACTGGGAAAGCTCAAGCAAATTGTAAAATATAGACGTGAAACTTCAAAATCATGAATTTTAATGTATGTGTGTCGCATTTTTATATTTGAAGACAAAACCTCGGCACGTTCTCTCCTTCATTTAAGACTGACACTACGGCTCAGTCCAAAACGTTTCATCACTTTCTCGAGCAAGAATTAGAGCAGCAACTGTAGCCTGTAAGGTAAAGCGTTGCAGCGGATGTGAAATATTTATAAGCTAGTTATACATTTTTAAAAGAGTAGATAGAAATTCAAAGCCAGAGAGAAACTCAAAGGAGTTTCTTCTTCAACTGGTGGTCGTAGTCTTTGAAGAAACTTGTGACTAGAAAGCAATATTATGATCAAAATATGATTACCCTACCAAAAAAAGCAGAGATGTTCAGTAATGATAAGGGCTCAAGACTAAACTTAAGAGGTAAGACTTTAAGTAGACAACTAACACTGTTTCTGCAACCCAGTCAAAATATTTAACAGATAAAGTGGGTAAAATATCTGTGAGAGGACCCGTTAGTACTTAAAAGAAGTGAAAAATGAAGTTTCCTTTTGAATTAGGAATCTTGTTTCGGGCGCAAGTCACTATATCATATTTTTGTGGAGTTTTATTCAAATAGATTTAAAGACATCATTTATACTGTCATGATGTCCTCTGGCCCATTAATCTGTATTGGCAGTTGGCATTTTCCCAGGGAATACAGGCTAGTTGGACATTTCACACATTTCGCCAGCAGTTCCGTCAGCACCACTAAATCAAAGGACAGTCTGGACATTGGATGCCATTAGAACTGAAGAAATATTTGTGTGGTCTGAAGTCCCCTAGTTTAGTCTAAACAAACACAATTTATGAACACCCAGGATGATCTAAACGGAACAGAAGCTCCAGTTTAGATCTTCAAAGCGTCTGCTGCTCCAACGTAAGCCAAAACCCAGAAGGGCAAGCAAGTGACCTCAGACTGGTGTTCTCAGCAGTGTCTGCCTGAGTCTCTACTTCCTAGTAAAGACTTTGGATGTGATCTGGGTCACAGTGCGTTAATGCCATGAAATCTAAAGACCTATGTGAGGAATGTAGAATGAGTTGCCAGACATTCAGTAACCCACCACTTTCTGTCACAGCAAATTAACTTACAAGATAAAATTGGAGTAATTCACTAATCGTTTTAACAATAAAATTGACAAAGAGAATCTAATAAACTTTTATCAGTTGTTATTAGAAATTGATCCCATATTTTTTTTTTTTTTACCAATTGAAGGATAATGTGGTACAGTTAAGTCCATAAAAGGCACCAAACTTAAGCTGTGATTTTTAAAATCAGGATACACTTGTGTAGCCACTACCCAAGATCAAGACATAAAATATTTCTGGCAGCTCATAAAGGTCCCTTACTATTCAATAGCCACACACCTCCATCTCCAAGGCGAAGCACTATTCTGAATTTTATCATTTTAAACGAGTGCTCCCCAGATCACAGTTTTGTCTCCGTTCCTCTGAAAGTCAATAACAACAGTGCTTTGGGCACTCCTGCCAATGAAAGGATGCGTGGCCCCTTTTATTGTTTTCCAGGTGCTATTACTAGGGTGGCGTTCACGCCTCTCCCCAGTCTGACACAGTCTTGCTCTGTTTTCCCAGCGACTCACTCTTGAGGAGGGGTTCTCATTCAGGCCCCTTTCCCTAGAGCAGGAGGAATTCTGAAACCTGTATCCTTTGTGTCTGTCCCAAACCTGAGAGGAGTTCAGGATGGGGCCTTTGGGGAAGCAAATTGCTATAACTCTGTCACTATGGGGCTCTATTTTCATGGGGCCCAACGACAAGCTTGTTTCCATTCAGTCATACCCCTAAAGCATGTCCAAATTCTAAATGTCAGACTAGTATAACCTTAGAGATCCATTTTGTCTACCCCCACAACCCCATGGTTAAATAATGATTGGACCATCTGGCAATTAATGTCGCTCACTAACATCAAATGTACGCAAGACCTTAATGACCCAGTTGCTCCCAGTAACAGTCTATGTTAGTGTCCAAAGGACCACAGCTCGGAGCCTAGATTTGTTCACCTTTTTTTTTGTTTGTTTAATCCCTCTCGAGTGCTCATACAGGATATGTTTGGGAAACAATGAATGCAGAGGAATGAATACTATTCAAAAGAAAATCAGTACTTTCTTCAAATTTGCTCTTTAGAGGTTTGAAAGATTCAGAATAATACTTCCCTTCAACACACACACACAAATTACATGGACTTAGGTGTCAGTGCTTAAGAGAGACCATTTAAATCTACTGTGAATTATAAAGCTGTTACTCCAATTTTAGTATAAGTACAAGGAATGCTTATCCAAATGTTTGTGCAGCTGTCATAAATATCTTCCTCCTATGAATCCAGAACCAGTTTTCCTTGTCCTTCCCATTCACAGGTCTTCAAAATAGTCTAAGTTTGTTGTTCATCATTGTTCAGTAGCTGAGTCTTGTCTGAGTCTTTGTGACTCCATGGACTGAAGCATGCCAGGCTTCCCTGTCCTTCACCGTCTCCCAGAATTTGCTCTAATGAATGTTCATTGTGTCGATGATACCATCCAACAATCTCATCCACTAAGTTACTTTTCTTCATAATGGCTCCTCTGATATTTGAAAACACCTATCATGAACCTTGCTCACACATACACTCAATCTAAAACAGCAGCATGCAAATGTAATGAATGCAGATGTGAGATGTCTGACAATTTGACTTAATAAAGATGAGAAATGAAAACACAGATAGTCTTGAAAAAATTAACGGTATCTAATGAGGAAAATAGTCAAAGGTGGTCCTGTGGGAAGAAAAGGGAAAAATAATAGTAGAAAGGTAATAAAATATATTCTTAATGAAAAAGAAGAATTTTGCATGTACCATTTATAGGTCATATGCATAATATCACATGGGCTTCAGACTAATGCAGGATAAATAGTAAGTTTCCAAATTTCAATCTAATAGATATCTACCTAAGAGATAATCATAATAGTAACAATTTTACCTGGCAATAATATAGAAAACAGGTGATTATTTGAAAACTCAAAGCCAAACATTTTAGAATTTTGTAATTATTTTATCTTGTATAATGTTGGATGAGCTACAAAGGGATTTACACTTTGTAGTAAATCAAAAAGATTTTGGATGCTTACTGAGAAATCACAGCTAAATTTAGATATTACACTGCCCTTCAGGATCTCATAAATTAGTTTCAAATATTCTCATTAGTTCTCAAAGTATATATTGTCAGTCCAGCAGCATTAGTTTACCTGGGAACTTATTAGAACTGCAAATTCTCAAGCCCCATGCCCACTCCAGCCACTGAATCGGAAGGTCTGGAGTGAGCCCAGACATGGGTGTTTTGCTAAGGCCTCCAAGGTGGCTTGTGGTCTTCCCACGGGGCGCTAGAGGTGAAGAACCCGTCTGGCAATGCAGAAGACATGAGAGACGTGGGTTCAGTCCCTGGGCTGGGAAGACCCCCTGGAGAAGGAAATGGCAACCCACTCCAGGATTCTTGCCTGGAGAATCCATGGACGGAGGGGCCTGGTGGGCCGTAGTCCATGGGGTCACAGAGAGCTGGACACGGCGGAAACAACTTAGAGGCAGGCCGGGTGGTTCTGCTTCAGGCTAAAGTGTAAGACCCACTGAATTAAATCTATGCATGGCGGTATGACTGATGAAAAGAGACAAAATCATCTCGGCAATCATGAGGCAACTTCATAATATTTGAGGAAGGGAGAATATATTCAAAAGTCATTAAGTATGATTCAAAATCTATGTCTAAGACCATCCTTTTATGATAATGCCTAGTTTCTTTGGTCATTGATTTTACATTTGTAGTTTATAATCTTTCAGTTCTTTGAATAGAAGTTTCACTTGCTTTCAAAAAATGTATTTTCTAAAATGATTTATTTTGCCCAAATTATCCAGCTTTTTCTCACAACTACATTCCTTTTTCTCTGGCTTCAAGGTGAAGTGGTGGTGACAGCGAATATAGGAAATGAAGGAAGGGGCACTGAAGTGAGAGGCTAGGAGATGCTGAGGTGAGAGGCTAGGTGGGAGACACTGGACCTTGTGAATTAAGCAGCAGGAAATGTTATAAGACAGACTAAATAAAATGGCCTACATTTACATATGGGCTGGGACTGGTATTCTTTTGCAGATGCACAGAGCCGAAGAAGCAGAGGTCTGCCTGGCTTTCTTCCCGGAGCTTCAGACCCAGACCACGGCCTTCACATCGCACCTTCCAATCCAGGGGACCAGGCATGGCAGCGGGGTCCCCCTCTGCCAGGAAACCTCCCTCCTGGTCTAGAGTATTTAAGCCAGGTGCTTTTATCTATTTCTACAAAGTTCTTTCCCTTTAAGATGAATACAAACTTGGTTTCTTTCCTGCTAGTCAAGACTAAAAACTTCAGCAAGTAACTTATTGAAGTGAGAAAAGCGTTATACAATCTGTCTTTTATTTATTTCTATTACTTGGCAAGAAACTTTTGCCTTCTTTTATAACCACTTCTATTTTTCTTATTTACCTGACACAGAGAGAAGACTAAACATTTTTGATTGAGCTGTTTAGCACATTATCCTTCTTCTCCTCATTGCTCAAGGTGTCAGCAAATTTAAATCCTAGAGGAATTGTCTAATATGTCTAGTCACCTACAGCTATTTAATTAAAGGATATTAATTGAGTACCTGTTATAATCAGGCACATAAATGGTTTATAACCTAGTTCCTCTCACCCAAACATTCTGCAGCCTCTTTGGCAAAGACAAAAAATGAGAGGCTGGGTGCTAGAGCCGGAGAAACGCACACTTTTAATTTGGGCAGGTGTACAGAGAAGGGAGGGCTTCCCTGGAGGCTGAAGGGGTAAAGAGCCCACTGCAGTGCAGGAGACACAAGAGACACAGGTTCAATCCCTGGGTCGGGAAGACCCCCTGGGGAAGGAAATGGCAACCCGCTCCAGGATCACTGCCTCGGAAACCCCATGGACAGAGGAGCTGCCTGAGCTACAGTCCGTGGGGTCGCACACAGTTGGACAAGACTCAGTGACTAAACAATACAGAGAAGAGAATGGTTGCTAAATATCAAAGTACTCAGGAGAGACTTTCTCAGTGAGTTGAGAGCTTAACATCGTCTACTGAATCTTAAAAGGTAAGGTGAATGGAAATCCAAGAGAAATCAAGCTATCAAGTTAGCACTACTGTCTTCTGATACTGTTGCCATCTCTGGGCCAATTTGCTTGAAATATCATATTATTATTAAGTATAGTCACTGTTATAGTCATTGGAGGGTAAGCAGTGATTCAAGCCTTATAATAAGTCAGCCAAGAAACATCATCTGAATTTTATGGCACACAAGTTGCAGTTGATATTTGTATATATTATTGATGCTTTTATATTTATCCTACACAAAATTAGAAATACACTTACACTAATATTGAGATATCAGCACATGTGCTTCAATTTTCAGCTTGTTTGGCACTCTTTCTAACTATAAAGTCTATCTCTTTTATCAAAATCAAATCTCTGTGTTAATTCCCTTAAGGTGCAAGAGATTTCTGTTATGCCTGATAGGGTTTAAGCTGCACACAGCATATGTTCCTGGGAAAATGTTTATAATTGCAGATGCCTTCTCCAGAAACCCACTGGCAGACAAATGTACTTTAGAGGCTGGAGAGCTCAGGGAGATATGTAAAAGAGCTGGAAAAGCTAACCTACCATCTTCCATCTGCAAAAAGGATCAGCTGTAATAGCTGACTAGAGTTGATTAACTGCTGCAAGCTGTTTGGGAATGTTGTCAGACAAGGATTCGCCAAGGATAAAAGTGATATACCAGTGCCAGAGGGCTGGGGTGTGATGATCACATATGGTCATCACATATTCTTCTTCCATCCATGAACGATGATATACCCAGAGCCAGATGCTTGACATGAACACACTTTTTTTTTTTTCATATTTGATAGAGATGTGAGCCCACTGGCTTCAGTTCTAAAACAAAGTCAGTTTTCCAAATGTATACCTTTGGTACTCTTTTTCAGAAAACAAAAAATATGTCACAAATTGCTGGGTATTTTCCTTCAAAGGGAATAGATTTTATAGTCTTTATACTAAAAGGACACATTTGCTTTAAAGCAGTGCATACAGAACAGGATGAATAGGCATTTAAAAAATTTAATTCTTCCAGTTTGTGAGAAACATAAACATATATATATATATATATATATATGAAGAATTTTGTGAGCTTTTATCTAAAAACCATAATAAAATTATGAATATTTGAAAATAGTGCATGCTTCAACAAACAGGAAAATATTCAATAAAAATGCATCCAAATTAAAATCTCAATGTAAATATTTTAAAAGTCACCCACTCTTTTTAATCATGATTATCCAGTAACTATTGATAATCGTGTTTTCACTAACAAATTGAAAATAAACCCCCAGGTGGCAAGTGTGTGTGTGTGTTTGTGTATATGTTTATATACACATTCATATAAAAATATACGTATATATTTACATATGTATGTGTATACATATATGTTGTTCATGTATTATAGATTGTCCTAAGTCACTTCAGTCATGTCTGACTCTTTGTGACCACGTGGAAAGTAGCCTGCCCGATTCCTCCGTCCATTCTCCAGGCAAGAATACTGGAGTGGGTTGCCATTTCCTTCTCCAGGGGATCTTCCCAACCCAGGGATCGAACTCTATTCATTCTAAGTTAAATTAACATATTCATAATAGTCAATAATATTTTATCCTATAAGCATCAAAGGATAACTTTTATTTAGTCACCTACAGATCAGAGTACTGAGTTAACATTTATAAAGGCACATGCAAGATTCCATTTATTTTGAAGTGCTGGGTTGACCAAAAGTTTCTTATGGGTTTTTCTGTAACATGTTATGGAAAAATCTAAATGAACTTTTTTGCCACCTTGATACATATGTTAAACAGAATCACTGATGCCTGTAAATCCGATAAATTATGCCTGTGGATGGTGCATACATTTCCCAGCCTGTCACTCGGGGTCCACTCTGAAGCTTTCTTACTGTAGCAGTGTTCTGCTTGTCCTGACACCTGAATACAGGATGCAATCTGTTTAAAGTTTCCAATAATTCCTGGTCCATCAGTTAGTAGCAAAAGATGGAAAATGCTCTTTTGGACCACAGTTTATAAGTGGCCCAGGGCTACTTAAAGGAAACTAGAAGAACAGCCAAAACCAGGAGCCCTCATATCCAGGAGGTTTGTCCACAGAGAGCGATCACATTTGAGGTTATCAGAGAGGATGGGTGAGCATAAGCGTGAACAGGGAGGAAGGTACTCAGTGTTCCACAGCGTCACTTAAGAACTGTTTCTCCCAGTTCCCAAGGTTAGCTACGTTATGCTGGCACAGCAGAGTAGAGAGCAAGTTGAAATCCATGGCATCACTGCCTGGGTTCATGTCCCAGCCTAACCACTTACAAGCTCTGTGATCTTGGGCAAAACCACTTTCTCTGGGATTGTCTCCTCACATGTCACGTGTATGATATCCCGTTCTCTGACGTGTGTGAGGACTGAGTCAGGCCCTACGTCGAATATCTAGCACAGGGACTACCTCAAGGTGGTCATTAGGTAGACAACCACTGTTACTAGATGTTAGAGACGTGCAGTTACCCTGTTCAACTAATAGCCTCTAAAGTTCAGGGCTGAGACTTGATCCATGACATAAACAGTCAAAGTTCCTAAACTCAAACCTTACCTTCGCACCACAAAACTACGTCTCCATCTCTAAGCTATGCCTACGTAGTGGGGGGAAAAGGTGTTAGTCACTCAGTGTGTCCAGCTCTTCCATACCCCAGGAGCTATATCGCCCGCCAGGCTAGAGTCCATGGAACTCTCCAGGTAAGAATGCTGAAGCGGTAGCCCTTCCCTTCTCCAGGGGATCATCCCCGCCCAGGGGTCAAACCCGGGTGTCCCTCGTTGCAGGCAGATACTTTACCGTCTGAGCCTACACAGATCCACTGCTAAACAATCGGGCGTGTCCCTCCTCCTCTGTCAACCCTCCTCTTTCCTCAGAAGAGGAAAACAGAACTTAACAACACTACATGACAAAGACCAGCTCTAAGATTTCTTACAGCTTTTGTCGTAGCTGTTTAAATACGGTCAAAAACATCTCATATCATAAATTATTTTTGTAAAAAATATGTTTGTGAATCTTGGAACGGAGGGCATATGTACACTTTTATCAATACTAAGAAGAAATGATACTAATTTTTACCTCTACCTCAGGATATACAAGAAGAAAGAAGAAATAAGATAATTTCATATTTTTTGGGTTTGTGATTGCCCAATCAATTCCAAATGTTAGCAATTACTACATTTATTTGGAAGTTATCAGTGAGTTTGTTAATGTGAAAGAAGAATAAAGTGAAAATTTTAAGGCAAAATAGAAAATGAAGCATTCAAAAAGGCAATAATCAGTACTGTATTCAGTGTTCATGATTTTACCTTAGTGAATCTTTAAGTGCTGAATATGAAAATTAAAATATACACAGATAAAATTCATTCTAAGAACATATTTTAAATATTTCCTTTAAAAAACCATTTGTATTATATGCTATTTAACATAGTCATGTCTCAACTACCTGAGACTGATTTATCTCTATAAATTAACCTCATTTCTAATTGCATAGGCAAGTTTTAATGTGTCATGCATTTAGAAGCTTAACTCTTTTCTGCTTAAACTGGTATTTTGTTGACAGGATTTATGGATTTTTTTCCTTTGTTTGAAGGAAAGTTTTGCTTGAAACAGAACTTAAAGAATAGCGTTTCTCAGCTTTAACAGACTTTCCATCACAGCCAGGAATGAGTTACTACATGACAGAGTAGGAGAGTTCGGGCTGAGAGGAGAGGCCAGGCGTGCAGGTCGTTACTGTTTGCATCCTCTTGGTTCATTTCTTTTAAAGAAAGAGAATGAGAAAGAAGTTTAAAACTTTATAGGCATTCTTATTCCGGGACTGTTTAAAAATATTCTCAAGGGTATTGGTATAATTTCCAAGAGCTACCTTATTACCACAGGAAAAACTCAGAGCTAACCACAGTTCCTATTCTTATTCAGAGCAATTTTGCTTTGAAATTTTCAAGATTCTTGTAATTTTTACTTGAGTAAAAACCATGTTAGCTTTTTTTTTTCCTTCATTATAAAATGTAAGTTGTTTTCCACCATTTTCCTCACAGAGAACATGAAAAACACCTAATTTCATGTAGTCCAGTAAACAGGTTAATAGTAATAGCTGCAAAGGTTTTCAAAGACCTGTGATGTAATATTTTTTATTTCCTTCATGTCATCTTTTAACAGTTAGACCTGATTATTATACACCAGCAGGTGGAACTTCTTGGAAGTAAGTACGTTCTGTAATTATTAAAATTGTAAAACTAAGTAGTTTCTAAACAATAAAGTTAAATATTTAGAATATTTAGGATAGAATTAAATAAAAAAGAGCACTAGGTCTATTTTTTCCTGGGAAAAGTTTCTCTTTTTTCGTTTTTTAATTGAGGATAATTGCTTTACAGACCTGTGTTGTTTCTGTCAAACACCAACATGAATCTGCCACGGGTATACACATGTCCCCACCCTCCTGGACCTCTCTCCCGTTGAAAGTAAAATTATTAGTGTGATATAGACAAGCCTAAAAGTATAAAACTCCCCAAATCGTTGGTGATATTGTCATTAGGAATGTAACATCATTATTATTATTGTTTTAGTTCTACCACTTTATTGCTACCCACCCGTCTCCTCCACCCTCGTGCACACAGGCTCAGCCACGTGACCCCATGGACCGCAGCCCGCCAGGCTCCTTGTCCATGCACTTTTCCAGGCGAGAACACTGGAGTGGGTTGCCATTTCCTTCTCCAAGGAATGTAACATTATTTTTAATCTTGAAGTAATAAAAACTATTTAGTCATTTCCATGGCTGCTAATAATTTAAATTTTCTTAACAATTTCAGACATGGAAATTGAGGCTGAGACCAATAAAAAAACATCAAAATAAAGTTCTACTGTTTTATCATACTGTCAGTGATTCATCAAAAACCAAATCATTTAACAGGGCACAAATTTATAATGATGAATACTCAAATTACTTAAGTATGTTCGCCCTTAATCTTCTATATGACGCCTCAGGTATGTCAAAACTGAAATAAATGGATAGCATGAAGCTGTAGATATAGTACCAGGTAGATTTTTAGGCAGAAGCATTAGCATCACTGTGAGTTGTCCCAGTAAATTCCATAACAATGACAGAATAATTTGAGTATGATTCTTCTTTAGAGCATTGCTCCCCTAGTTGAAAAGTACAAGTGTCCATGTAGGTCGTATAACAGGAATCAGAATTTATCAACTGCACAGCTCTGTTCACAGAGTCTACTTTGATTTCTATGGCTAAATCCTCAACATTTAGAGTACAGAAATAGATTCATCTGAAGAAGATACTATGTACTTAATAACTAATCAGTCAAGCTGCTTTATTTAATAATACTATGATGTTTACTCATAGAAAGGTCTGATCCTAAGCAGTAGCATGATTTTGATAAATTTTTTTTTGCTCCATTAGTGATATTAGGCACTGAGACCACCAACAAATATGAGATTAAAAACAGCTTGGGACAAAGAATATACTTTGCAGTGGAGGAAAGCATCTGCTTCAACCGTACTTTCTGTTCCACTCTGCGATCATGCATTCTGAAGATCATCGATAACTCAGGTCAAGAGGTGATTACAGTCAACAGGCCCTTGAGGTGCAACAGCTGCTGGTGCCCTTGCTGCCTACAAGAGGTTAGTCACTGACCTGGGTGTGCTTTCATTTTCCACAGTTGGAAAGATTAGCAATTATTTCTCTAATAAATGACATTCAGCTGGCGATACCAGGCCATTAACCTTTCAATTGGTTGAATTAGAATGTTGCTCCTTTAAGATCAGAACAACTTATTTTCATTTCCAATGAAAAACTATAGTGGCTTCCGTGGTGTTAATTTGGAAAGACAGCTCATGCATCATGTAAATGAGACACATCCTCCTGAATCTCTGTATTAGCTAGGTAATATCTGTAAGTTCCACTATTAAGCAGATCTACTCTTCATCTTCTCATTGGTACAAAGTTCAGAGAGTGCTAAGTGATACTAAACTCTCCTAAAGGAATCTCTTGGGTCAGTATTATTTTTAGAACAGAATCTCACGTTCCATTTACCCATTTATGACAAATTTCAAGGTTCAGCAAAGACTGTGTTATTCTTCTAGAGGGAATCATTTGATTATTATATTTTAATAATACTAGATTTTCATCACCTTTTAGTAAATCTATAGTAATAACTTTCATGGACATGATGCAGGTAAGTTTATGTGGAATATATACTTACTTTGATATCTTTGATATCAGGAACCTCTAAGTGAGAAGAAATAGATTTTACTCTCTACATTTTGCAATGGAGGAAACTGAGGCTTAGAGGTTTCTCACCTATGATCACACATCTAGAATATATCATAAGAGGGATTTGATCCAGGTATCTTTTTTCAAGCCCAAGTTTCTTTATTGAGGGCCTATGTATAAATATTCTACTTAGCACAATGGGAAGTAAATATTAATATGGAACTCTCCTTAAGTAGAGAAGTTTCTAACAATATATGTTGAAGCTAATTCTGAAACTCTTTATAGACAATTATCTGGTTAAGTGATTGGATTGATAAGGTACTCAAATTCTTGCAGCCCAAGAATTTTTATCCTTCTACTGGGAATATTCAAGATCTAATATGCCCCAAGATGCTAAAGTCAGTATAACCCAGAATATACACCCATTATAACATTTCTGACAATTAACATTTTATTTCAAAGTAACCCCATGTCACATAAATTAAACATAAGATGCATCCTTATACTGATTAGTATATTTTTAATTTGGTTGAAATCAAATCAGTTACTTTAGAGGTGATCCTAGGACAAATCTATGTAATTCTAAAAAGTCTTGTTGAGAATACCTTTGTCTATCCAAAAACACTACAGATATGCACATAAAACTATGAACTTAACAAGGAAGAAAAGACAAAAGGAGATCAGGTGATAGAGAGTTGGCTTGATTTAAAAGCAAACAATATTCATCATTATCACCCAATTCCAGCTTCTTTTAGTAATACAAAGTATTTGAATTGACCAAATAAATATGTTGAAATACAGTATTATGGACAATTAAGAAATTAGGGGGATGAATGATAAGGGGCAATATACTAGTCAGCTCTGAAAATGCAAATGATATTCTTTTAATGCTTTGGACAAAATGAAACAGAAATCAAATTGGTGTGTAACAACTGTAACTCTCCAAGAAGCATTTGTTAGTACAGAGAAGCTGAAGTTGACAAATCGAAGAGGAAAAAAAATGATAAGAATCAAGAAGTGAGGCTTAAAAACAGATGTGTGTTGTGACAACAACCAAGAGGGGATAAATATGAAGCATATCATAGGAAACAACTTCAATGCTTGGCCAACTATTGTACTTGGAATAAACACGGCAAAGAAGCCAGTACCCCAGGGTCAGAAGACAGGCCTGGGGTAGGTTCTTCTCAGGGAATGAAGATCAAAGACATGGACTTTTAGTGAATCCTGAGGAACACATATCTATACAGTGAATTTCTTTGTTTCTAAAAGTTATTTTAAAAATCCACAGAAGCAGATATTTAGAATCTTTTATATACTGTTTAGAAGTAAGCAGACATTATAGTAAAATTAAAATACAGTAACTTAGGAAATCTTATTTTATTATTATCTCTTCCTACAGTTAGAAATCCAAGCCCCTCCTGGTTCTATAGTTGGTTATGTTGCACAGAAGTGGGACCCCTTTCTGCCTAAATTCACAATCCAAAATGCAAACAAAGAAGATATTTTGAAAATTGTTGGTCCTTGTGCAACATGTGGCTGTTTTGGCGATGTGGATTTTGAGGTACGATTGACAAATGAAAGATTGTTTCACTTAGGTCCTGATTTTTTGCAACATAATTCAATTTTTTAAATGTTCAAATCATGAAATATTTCTGAAGTAAATTCAGAAAATAATATATTTGTGAAATAATGGAATAAGTAATATTGTACATGCCAATAATAACTCATAATTCCAGAGACAGAAAGTTCAGGAATTTTTTTTTAGAATATACTACGAAAATTTGATGTATGTGGAATTATAGCACCTATGGTATAAAGCAAATATATTTAGTTTAGAATCACTGAAATTACATCTTCTTTCCTATATCCCTGGTGGTAACATATCCCAATTCTGATCTCAAGAGCACACTCCATTAAAATACCATTAATTTAAAAGCTATGTAAGTAAGACTTGCTAACTTCATTCTGTAAAACAATCAGTTCTCATATAAACATATGTGTGTAAATCAGAAGACAGTAAGTACTTGCAAATTCAATGTGTAAGAACATGAACTATCTTAACAGCTTTGTTCAGTCGCTAGGTGGTGTCCGACGCTTTGCGACCCCATGGACTGCAGTATGCCAAGCTTCTGTTTCCTTCCCGATCTCCCAGACTTTGCTCAAATTCACCTCCATTGAGTTGATGAAACCATCTAACCATCTCATCCTCTGATCCACTCCTTTCCTTTTCCTTAACAGTTTTTCCTAGAAATAAATCTTAGAGGAAATAGTCTAAAGTATGTATTTTTCTTTTGTTTATTCACACTATCCATTCGTGTATATCTCACATAGGACATTAAGTTTACAGGATTTCAGGGAACATGACTCACCCAGAATACAATGTACATTTTACAAAATGGGCTGTCATAAGTCCACCCCACTCCAAAAGTTCTTGGCATAACTTTCCTAAGAGTAAAGAATAAAAATAAGCCCTATAATTGAGGAGTACTTAAGAGTTTTAATATTTATGGTATTGTTTTTTAGTTGCTAAGTCATGCCCTACTCTTGAGCAAACCCATTGACTGTAGCCTGTCAGGCTCCCCTGTCCCTGGGATTCTCCAGTGAAGAACACTGGAGTGGGTTGCCATTGCCTTCTCCAGTAAATGTCTGAGTATAACATAAAAATGAAATTAGCAATGACTGGTAATATCTTAAAGAGATGGGAATACCAGACCACCTGACCTGCCTCCTAAGAAATCTGTATGCAGGTCAAGAAGCAACAGTTAGAACTAAACATGGAACAACAGACTGGTTCCAAGTAGGAAAAGGAGTATGTCAAGGCTGTATATTGTCACCCTGCTTATTTAACTTATATGCAGAGTACATCATGGGAAATGCTGGGCTGGAGGATGCACAAGCTGGAATCAAGATTGCCGGGAGAATTATCAATAACCTCAGATATGCAGATGACACCACCCTTATGGCAGAAAATGAAGA